AAGAAATTGGTACGTAATAGAGTATAGATGTGGACAGGGAGCAAGGAAGGGTGAGGGAGGCAGGAAACGATAACTGTTGGTCCATTTTCCACGCGGTAATGTTTGTGCGTGAGCTTGTGCGTTGTGTGTAGGCAGTGTAGTAGTACTTTGTTTTTTGTCCTTTCTTTTTCTTTCTCTTTTTCTTATACTATGCTTTTATTTTTTCTTTTTTTTTGCATATAGTTCTGCCTTAGCGAGGCTATAACTAGTGTACGGTAGAACTCTAGTGAGCACAAGTACCTATGATACCAGCAGTTCACGTAAATATTGTTGTAGACATGCAGGCACCATAATTATTTAGTAGAATATTAGCATATTAAGGGACACAATGTTATAAGCGTTACCATTGGATATATGCAGCATAGTAATATTTCCAAGGGCCTCCACAAAGTATAGTATACTAATAGAATAACACTAATATGTCCGCACAGCACCTAGGCCACGTAGTGGCCGACTGGGTACGGGCGCGGGGTGCATACATGGGCCCCAAGGTTTATGTGGTAACCAAGAGTGATTGGCACGATATTAAACGTAATGCATATTAATTAGCTTATGCATAATGGGGAGGCAGTTTATGGAGCGCAGCTACGTGCCATATGTGAATGAGTATGACCGGTGTCCCCTGTGATGATAGTGCGCGCGCGCCTAGTGCATTGTGCACAGCAATGTATTCAGAGGTGGATTAAGTGTACAGGAGGAAGCGCAAGTTGTAAACTATGCATATATGTGTTATATTAATTGCAGCACAAACTGCGGGCAGATATACAAATGGAGTTACAGGAGTTTGTGCAATACATGGAAGATATGGAAATGGAGACTCTGGGTGCGAACTGTGCGAATGATTATTATAACCACCCGAAAGATCCTCATGGTCACCCGCGACAGGTAACACGCGCGGGAGACAGAATTATGTGCAGACTGATGTCTGGGGCATTATTCTTTATATATAAGAGGCACAAGGAAACGGGTGCAACGGGAATGGAGACTAACAATGATGAACGGTTAAAGGAGTATGTGCGGTGTGGCATACTAAATATGTTTGCAAAGTTTTTAAAGGAGTCAGCGTGTAAGGGCGACTGGGGTTTATGGTATGCCTGGTACACCATGGAACAAATGGACGAATACATGGGAGGAGTAATGAAAAGGGTGAATTGTGCAAATGAAGTATATCAAAATATTCAAGCTGGAGGATGGTCAATGGAGCAGAGCATTAAACAATGGTTAAGTACGAACAAAACGCTAAAGGACAAAATGGGCAAAGAAGGTGTAAGCAATATATGCAATTGGGCACTGGATACAGACGGGAACATAAAAGGCGGCAAGACTAAGGGGGATGCAGGAAATACGAGGGACATGAAAGCCAAAAACGTAACGAAGAAATTGACGGAAGGTATAAAGGACATTTTTGTGGACATGAAGCAGGAGGTTACGGAAACCATACAACGCCAGCGGCATACTCAACAGGCCCCGGGAGTACAAGGGGTACAGACAACATCAGGATCATCATCATCAACATCAACACCACCGGGCACGTCAGAACCGGGTACTGCAGATAACGTAGCTGGGGCCGTCGCCACACACGCGGACGGCTCAAAACCAGCAGATACAGCAACGCCGGAAACCACACCATCAAAGGACACGTCAGGTAAGGACCGCTGGGAGAAAGCACGCCTACGGCCCGTATCAATATACGGCCGCTATGCACCGTACGAATATAAGCCCGAATACATATACGGCCCTCATATAAATCGTACGAATATGGATGCCACCACAACAACGCCATGGCCACAAACACGCACGGCCACCATATGCATGCGCCCACCACAACAACGCACACGGGAACAACCAACAGCGCGGTGCGCAACATCACCCCCTCGTTGAGTCGAGCACAGCAACACTTCGTTGACGTGGAGGCAGGAGACGGACGGGGATGGGAGCACGGGGGCAGGAGACGGACGGGGGTAGGGTGCCACTCCGGGAAAAGACTGTCTCTCGGTCTGCCACACAACACACACACACACAATGTGTGTGTGTCTGTGTGTGTCTCTGTCTGTCGACGTCTACGTCGACGTGTACATCCAGCGGCTCACTCTCCGTGGCTCGGCCGGTCAGTCTCATTCGACGTTTGGTTTCTCTGTCTCCGTGGTGTCTGTCCCTCGCTCCGTATGCGCTCTCCGGAAATTGTTGTTTGTTTTTTTTTTTTTGTTTTTTTTGTCTCTCCCTCTCTGCTTGTGCATCATGGTACACACTGTTCCCATCATGCCGTGCACATGGGACACAGAGTATACCTGGGCCGCTGGTAGCATCCGGAACTGTAACAGTAATACCTGCAGGAATATTAGGGGCTTCCAACCCTGGACCAGTATATGTACCACAGCTAACAGATACACTGGAGGATGTACCTTCGCTGCCCTGACATCCGATATTACCTGTACTTCCTGTACCTGCTTGTCCCGTCCCTGATCCTGCTTGTCCAGGAGGTCCCTGTGCTCCATCTTTCCCTGCTTCCTCTGCTCCTCCCTGCGGACCTGGTGTTGGTGTGGATGGTGTACTTGGTGGAGGAGGTGGTGGTGGTCGTGCTGGTAATACTGGAGATGCAGGTGCTTGTGGTTGTGTCCCATCTGCGCCTGTGGACGGATCGTTCCTGCCTGCTGATGATGGTGACGAAGGTGTGTCTGCCTTCTTGTTGTCTTCCTTGCTGTCTGGAATAGTGACCTTGGGTTGCTCTGGTACCTTAACTGGTGGAGCTTCTGGTTTCTTCGGTGGTGGAGGTTCCGGTTTCTTGGGGGGATCTGTTCTTCCCACTCCTTCCCCAGACGGGGATGTTGTACTCGCTTTGCCATTGTCCTTTTCGGCTGCAATGAGGGATGCAAGAAAGATGAAAACATGATAACAGGACAATTGTTAAAGGGGAGACGTTAGAAGAAGTACAGAAAGAAGGAAGTGGGGTCGACTCGATGCATGGATCGATATGGACTGGGTGGACTGGGTCAGGCGACAGCAAGCGTACGGTGAGGTGGACTGGGTGTACTCGGTGAACTGGGGCTAGATGGTAGCAGTACAACTTTTATTTGTTGCCGTCCGCGACCGCAGTTACGCTCCTCCATCGTCCTGTCCCTCGTCGCCGCTACCGCTACCACTGCCGTCGCGGCCGCTACCACTGTGGTCGCTACCCACCTCGAACACACACGCACACCTCGATTGAAGCGCATCGTATGCTCCGCAACCGCTACCGCTGCCGTCGTGGACGCCGCTCATCGCAGTCGGTCAGCGTCAACGGAGTCGTTTGCTGTGCTGTTCCGCCGTGCGTAGTTCTCGTGCGTTGTTGATGTGCTGGCGGCTTCCACATTCGGCAGTATGCGGCCGCGTATTCGTATTCGGCCGTATTCGGTCATATTTGTCCGCATTCGTGCTTTCTGTCATCGGTCCTTACCTGCCGGTACCTTTGGTGGTGGTGTTGCTCCATTGGTGGCGGCCTGCCCGTTTTTGCCATCGTTCGCTGCAATAAAGGGCAAAAATGGGAATTACAAGGGTGAGTATGTACGTTTTATATTCTTCGAAGCATGCAGAAACGAACGTTGTTCACACATCTCCATCGTGTGTCGCGTTGCACTTTCCCTTGTACGTCGACACTGTCTGTAGTTGTCGTGTGTGTACTTATGCTGTCTGCTGTGTTGTAATCTGTCTCATTCTGGCCCAACCTGCCATGCCTTACCGGACTTCCCCGTCTTCGCCTGTGCCCTCTGTTGTATGGTTTGCTCTGCCTGTTTTCCTATGTCCTTAAATATTTCCGTCATTGGGTGTTGCAGTCCGTGCATTATCTGAGCAATCGTCGACCGTGGCGAATCATCTATATTCCCATGCCCCAGGATTTCTTCTAGGCTCCATTCCTTCCTCCACCTATCCGTGCACAGTGTATTTCCTTTTATTTTCTGTATTGCCTCTTCTAGTTTGCTATTTTTTCCTAACCATGCTTTGACGTCTGCATTTAAGTCAAGTTCCCTTATTTGTACATTCGAAAATATGTTCCTACCACATTTTCCCTTCTTTATTGAACCCCCCTTAAAAGCGTCGTCCTTTTCGAATTCTTGCATTATGTGCCATGCATAAAATGTGGCCCATTGGCTTTTGCACACGGATTCGTTTAATACTGCGCTAAACATATGTACTATTGCACATCGTAAATGCCTTCGTATGCTTTCGTTAGTTTCATCTTCCTTTGGTCTAACTTGTTCTGCACGATGCCACCCATTCATGAACAGTAATGCCCCTACCATAAGTACGCATACAATTTTATCTCCCACTTTGTGTCCTACATAGATCTGACCGTTAGGATCAGTGGGGTGCTTCCATCCTGCGTGACCACAGTTCGATGCATACGATATTATGTTCTCATCCTGCATGTGTTCCACAAATTCCTTCATTACATCCTTGGTTTTGTTCCACACCATTGCCTACAATGTAAGAGAAACACAGGAAATATATACATGCGCATGTGTGCTTGAAATCTATGTGCCCCGTTTTGCTGCATTCTCACATGTAACAATAAAAGGCTGGCACTTAACGCCCCGTTTTGCTCTTCTGTTCCATTACGTGCCTACCTCATAGTCCTCCTGTGTGGAAATGCCTGCGGCGATTAACCAATCCGCCAATGCGTGCGCCAAATCTACCGTTGCCATACTGTTACCATGCACTGAAATATGCGTTACCCTTGGAAATACTCATACATCACTATTATTCGTATTCTTGTTATGTTGCATTAATTCCCTGTTGCGTCCAATTGTAGTCCCTAATACTGCTTCTGTCGTTCTTGACGGCTGCGCAAGTACCAAGCAAATGTTCGATAAAAAGAGAAAAACTTCAGCACACAAACATAGAAGGAAGAATTTAACAAAACAGAAAATGTGCATAGGAATTGCAAATAGAGGGCACAGGCAAGAAACAGAAGAGAAAACAAAAGAACGAAAAAAAAAAAAAAGCAAGGAAAAAATAGAAACAGTACACTACCGTACACACACAAAGCGCGTCATGAATACCCCCTCCCCCCTTTCTACACAGGTCTCCACTAAACGCCTTCACACACTGTCTCTCTGCGCGTACACCTAAAAACCGCAGTATAACAACATGAATGTTTCTTCCGTCGTTACCGCCGTCCTGCCGTCGTTGTTGCTCGCCCACACAAAATGTGTATTCCTTCCGCGGCCTCGCGCTCTGTGCTCCCTCTCTGATCCTCACTGGGACAATCTGCGTTTACCCGGCCGCGTTTGCTCGGAGAGACAATCTCTCCTCCTTCTTACACTCGGCCGCGTTGGTCGACGCGTTTGCTCGGAGAGACAATCTCCTCGTTCATGCACTCGGCTACTTCGCAGAACCCCTTCTTACACTCGGCTACTTCCTCGGACAATCCGTTTACCCGGCCGCGTGACTCGACGCGTTGCTCGGACAGACAATCTCCACCGTCTTACATTCGGACCGACCTGTTGCTTGGAGACAATCCAGTGTACAAGGACGAGGTGAGGGCGACGTGGGAGAGAAGCCGTAGAGGCGCCCGGCAGCAGAATAGGAGGGATGCCAGAGAAGGAAGCGCAGAATGCGCAAGAGCACAAGAACAAAGGAAAGAAAAATAAAATCAAGGTCAGAGTAGTACGTAGAATGTTCAAGCGGTAAAACAACCAACAGGGCAAGAAGAATAGGCAGGAATACCACTGACGAGCGATTATTCATGCAGAAAACAACAAAGAAAAAGAAACATCTAAATGCAAAACCTCCTAAACTTGAGGACTGCGAAACCGTAACCCCTGACTCCCTGAATCATAAATCCGGATTCCAGAACCACAGAATCCTGGAATCCATATTACTGAA